TGTATCTACCTCCCAATTTCTCAGGCATACATTCATGCCTGCATGGCATACACATCTAATATTGTTTAGAGCCTGCGAGCACTGCAGGATTGCTTCCTAGCACCAGTCTTACACCTCTCTGAATTTGCTACTTGCTTAAACGTATTTGTCAAACATGTTTAAAAAGAACTGCCAAAGTTCTGTCTTCTAATTTATCGCCTTAAGAGATCATGTGGCAAAAGGACATTGAACAGAAACAAAGGAATGTTTTAGTGATTTGGTTTTGAAATGTAAAATCAGTTCCAGGACTGTGGAAAACAAAAAGCTACTGATGTCAGATCATTGCCATCGAAATTCTGAGTTTGAACCAAATTGTTAGGAGACAGCCTAGCCAAACTGCTTTGCTGATCTGCTTTTGAATTTGGAATAACCTCTGTGGCTTGAAGATACACTCTTTTTGCAAGGTAACATCTGTCCTTCAGGCAGTTGCATGTTTCCACTATGGAAATGCCAAACTTTAGCTCTGACAGTGAGTAAAGCAAGCATGATGTGAACACTAAAGGTCTAATTTTCTAGCCTCATTCTTGACTAGGATGCCTGACTAACAATATAACCAAGTGCAAGAATGCGAATTCTTCAACCTTACTTTGTGAAGATTCCTTGAGAAGGGAGATTTTTTTATCCAGCAGACCATGTGCATCTACAGGGGAGCCCTGGTAATGGTGTGCCAACAGGGTAAAAGAACCACAAGATCTTCTTTAAGCTGCAGTAATGGTTGTAGAAAAAAAAAGAAGGTAATAATATCCCTTCAGCCCTCCTCCACAGGTATATGGTTGTGTGAGAGGGTGGACTCCTCAATAGAGAAATCTAATTTTCTAACCCTGCTGCATCAGGGAGCCAGCCAGCTTCGCATTTATTTTGTGATCAGAGAAGATACTGGAACAGGCTCCACTTTATAATTGGTATATTTTTCTGACTGTCAGGTCTTTGGTAAGAATATTTGGAAAGCAACAACAAAAATTAATATGCACTCTAATACTCTGTACTCATCATTAAGTTCTGAAATACTGTTGTGCATTGATTTTAACAGTTACTTTACAAAATCATTTACCAAAATCGTGGATGCCAGAAAATGACAAAATGCTGTTGAAGTTAAACCAGAGCTTCACGCAAATTGGTTCTTGATGTGAAACAGCCTACTTCACTCCCTTCCTGATGCAGAATCCACCCACAGTGCTTTTCTTCTAAAGGGAACAAACAGCTGGAAAACACACTAATGTTATTCTGTTTAAAATTCAAGTTAAATTTAACCACTTGCCTGTGCTCTCAGACAGCTTCAGATTGAGAAAAATAAGGTTACAGTACAGGACCGATGCTGAGTTTGAGAAGAAATTTCAAAAGAAAATGAGTGTTTATTTTTTAAGTGCATATTTGTAGTAGCTTTCTAATTTTCCCACTCAAATAATGCCTAATGCTGCAACATATACATCAGCCATTTTGTTGATATACTTTAAAATGCTTTACAAGTAGTAACACACTGTTATTTAGAAAACAGAGACCCAAAAAAGCTAAGTGATTTATATCATATCTTAAATATCATTAGCGTCTTCACTGCTATGCCCTTATTGACCACAACCAATTCTGGTCAAACTGCACAATTTTGGCTTAAGCAAAATTCCACGCTGCACAGGGTCTGCGAGGATAAACACACTGCAGCACCTGAGACTTTGATGTACAGGGCCAAGAAAGGCGCTCTGTGCTATGTAACTCTTTAGCAGGACACTAAAGCTGTGGGGGATGCAAGGAAAGCCAAGCGGACGGTGTATTTTACACCTGATGCCTGCTTTTAAAAAGGTTTTTGTCAGTCAGCCTCATTTCAGGGCAAGGTCTCCTCTTTTTTCAGAGCTAGTGGTGCAATGTGTGTGCTAAACAATGTGGGCAGTTTGTGTGTATGTGGTTTTTTCCACTCCATGCCCTACTTATCATTCAGCACATTTGCCAGAGAATTTGCCTTGATTGCAGAAGGCCTAGGAAAACAAGAAATCTGAGCAATTCTTCAGTTGCCCTGAAGAGGATACTACTCCTGGTGATTCTTAGAAGCCCTGTAAGTTAGTAGCTGTATAGACTAGAGGATTTGCTCAGGCTGGTAAACTCCCAATAGCCAAAGTAGCTATTCATAGTACTAGAGAATCAGAATGAAGACAGAATACTGAGATACATCTAACTTCATTAATTGGGGGGCAAAAACCAGAAATAAGTTGCTGCAATATTTAAACTAGAAAATCCCTATAATAACAAATGACAACCTTGTAGCCTGCAAAATCTGCTAATAAAGCGTTTGCTGTGGTTATTAAAACTAAACTTATGATCCATGATTATCTAACCATTAAACATAAGTGAGGGCTAAACTGGATGTTTGTGTCAGATGATATTTCAGTGCTGTCTGGACAGAGAAAATTACTCATCAAATTTGATTGCTGATGCCTCTCTTCTCTGAAGATTAGCCACCTAAGGAGTTTAGAGGTATTTAGAAAGATTCTTTCCTCCCTCCCTTTGTGTCCTCTTTTTCCTCAGTAATTACACTGTAAGCTTTCTTTAAGTTTAATTTGTAGACCTTTAAAAATCACTTATGTAGAATAGCTGTGCCATAGTTAGGTGACTGATCACAGAGCAATTCCACATTGCCAGAGAAGCATCCCTCCTACTTGTCTGTAATTATTCTTGTCCAGGTGAAATTTCCTGGACCTATAGTAGAAATAGCATAGGTCCCTCCATCAGTCCGGTTGTTTGAATATATAGGTATTTTTGCCAGAGTTACATCAGCTAAAACAAAGTTAAGAAAAAGACACATTCAGCTGAGATAGTGGTTGGCACATTAGAGTTTCTTTTTGATTGATGTATGATAACTTTTTGTTGTCAAGAAAATTGTTTACACCATTTGACTAATGGGATGGATGGTCGGTTTAAGAAAGAAAATAGACACATATGGCAATCAAAAAAAAAGCTCTTATTTTGTTGGATTACTGCCCACATACTGACAAAATGCTGCATATGTCTTTAGTTCCAGACTCAACTGGCTTCCATGGTAGCCAACAACAGTTGAAAATGGTGAAAGTGGTTATGGCAAGAATGGAGCACTACTTACCGAGACCAACAAACTACATTAATATTGTGCATTTTACCTTTATTCCTGTTCTTAGAATGGGGTGAAGTAAGGTTACTATATGTTCTGTTAATTCATGCATGGTTCCACACCAGCTGATTTCTTTTTAGAGGCTACTGCTTTTTTCTGCTCTTAGCAAATATCCCATTAGCAAAAAAGTTCAGAGCTGACCTTCAGATGATGAGGTTGCAAACATAAAACCAAATCCCTCTTCCACCAATGTATGAAAAAGTGTCATATTTAGTACTAATTGCATAATATGAAAGCATTTGCAAGTAATAGGATGGGTAGTTTTTTCTAGACAGCTCAGTGTTTTATTGGCCTGCTTACTATAACAAAAATATTGGAGAATTATCATTTTTCCTCCCTGAATCAGGAAAACCACCAGAAATTAGTAACTTGTATTACCTGGCTCAGTGGTGGTAGCAACGCCACCTGTTTGCTGATCTGTCTTCTTTTAGTGGGGCAAACAGGAGACTGGAGAGAGTGCTCACCAATACAGTTATGTTCTGCTGCAGACTTTTATCTGCTGAGACTTGAGATGGATTGAGAATGACTACCTCCACAGGTCACTTAACAACATGGTAACAATTTTCAGCCAGAGCTAGCCTGAGCTAGCTTGGAGGAGAAAGTATCTGACTCCATTATGTTACACCCTTAAACCATTCAGATTTGTTCTCCAATTTCTGTATAGCAGTCATCCAAATTGCAGAGCAAAAGGTTTTGTGAATAATGTGCAAAGTACAGCCAGGATTCTTTTAAAAATCTAACAGTCAATAAAGTATTCATGCTTTCTGGAATGAAGTTGGGCCTCTATATATCATTGATCCTTTATTAATGATTTCATTTTAAATACTGCTATCTTGATTCACAAAGGAAGCATTTTCCATTTTCCATTGCTCTTCTGTTAAATATCCAAAGGGAGAATTTCCTGCTTACAGAAAAAGTAATTTCACAGATGACCACGATTGCTGAGGGCCAGATTCAGAAAAAGATAATCTTCTCCCCCCTTTCTCCAAAATTTCCTGTCCTTGTTCATTAACCATACACAGCAAGAGATGAAGCAAGCTGTATGAAACATTGTAATTGGGTGTCTCCCACTGATGCCACATTAATATGCCATTAGACTAATATCTTTTACTGACACACAGATACGGTTTTCAGAACAGATCTGGAAACCTGACAAGCTGGATATTGTATTTTAAAAGACTAAAATGATTTGTACATTTCTTATTTGAAAATGTCTTAATTTGCAGGGTGCCTTAAAATCTGGCTGAGACCCTACCATGTTATCACATCACTGTAGAGAGCAGGTTGCCAAAAACACACATGGAGCACTGGGGCACAATGGTGGTAGTGCTAATTGGAAGTCCAAGCAAAAATAATACGACCTCATACTCTAAGCCCTGAAAGCAACTACCCTATATTCCCTGCAAATGAGTTGTCTACGATGTAAGTGCAGCATGTACTGCATGTGTATGGCCATTACTTTCTTTACATGAGGACGTACTATCATCGAAATTTAACTTTCTCCTTAAAGTCATCAGGCAACATGCATTCTTCCATGAAGACATAACCCAAAATTCAAGCACATTCTGTTGGTCCGTTTGAAACCTTTCTACTAGTCTGACAGAAAACCGGACCAGAGCTATAGTTTAGGAACTGTTACTGTGTTAGATTTCTTTTCTAGCATGGGAACACTTGCTGTAAGTCTTATGTTAATTGGAAATGGTTTCAGAGATGGCAGTTCAAGGTTTATGCATGTTGCTCCTTTCTCACAAACTAATCTCAATGGGAAAAGTGTTCAAGGTAGATTTTTGAGGTAAATTTTTGTCTTTTTTTTTAGATGACTGGCAGATGGAAAACCTATTTTCAAGTGAACTTGGAGCATGGGCACTCTCTTGGAGAGAAGGAATAAAAAGAGAGAACTGCAAAAAAAGTTTGAAGAGCCCTGTGCTCCTGAAGGGCTGCCTGCCCTTCATTTTAGCAGCACACGAGGTGAGTTCTGTTTGAACAATTTTGGCATTTCTTTATGCTGAAGAGCTATGTGTTGCTAAGCAACATTTAGCAGTGTGTAAGCACATGGAAGTTGCCTTTGGTACTTTACATAGCTGTGTCGGCCCTCATCCCAGATTCTCTTAGTAAGATGAAAGGTCCTTCAATGAGTTGATACAGGATCAAGGTGTGTAGTGAGAATGGTATAGAGATCAGAAGCTGAGCTCTTTCAAAGCTAAGTGAGCCATAGCAAAGACTACAAGCTAAACTAAAGGTAGGACTTAACTGAGAAACCATCCAAGTGTTCTCACTCCTTTAAACTATGAACTGTCTTCCCAGTTGCAACTGCAGCTTTGTTTACTTTCATTTCTTGTGACAATAAGAATAAAAATCTATTTAAAGTGTTTAAGGGAGTGAATCGCACATTCAAAAGAAATATTTTTTTTTGTGAAGACTAGCATAGATTTGTTATGAAAAGTAAATTGGGTGAAGAGAAAACAGATTGAGAAAAAAGGTACAAGCTATGCCACTCATGAAATTTTATCCAGAGACCTGCAGCCTGAAAACATTCATGTAACTTTAAATTTCCGTTCGAGACTGTCATGAAGTATAAAGAGAATAAAGACACTATTAGGAGAGAATTTGTTGTCTAATGTAGTTGATTTTGCTACATTTTGTACTTTGATGCAGTGCCTATATGATCAGATAGTGTAGCCTGAGGCTTGATGCAGTAGCAGGAACAAGCCCATTCTAGACAGACGTCTTAAAAAATCCAGAGCACAGGGTGCCAAGTTTACCTTCCCATTTCTGAGTGGTAGGAGATGCTCTGTGAAGCAAGATGCCAGCACCATTTGAGAACAAGCAGAGAGTCTGCATTTCTTTCTCCTATGCTGTGACATCCTTAAAGTTAAGGACCATTTCAGCTGTGACACCTTTGTGTTTCCTTAAACCTGTTTCTTTCACTGGTAGCAGAAAGTTGAGAAGAAGCCCTGAGTGCTCTGAAACCAACTATATAGTAATAATTTGGGGTTCTTACCATATCTAAGTTACTAAATCTAGGTTGAGGCTTGACAGCCACACAAGGAAGGTTCTGGGACATACTTTAGACAGCTGTAATTCAAAGAAATCCTAAAATATTCTGTATTATGCATAATACTGTAATGGTTCTTTGTAGTCTTTGGAAGCAGGGGGGTATAAGTATTATAGAATGGCTGCCTCCTAATTATGGTGTGATGTCCCATAGTAATCATAGTTAACATAAACCTGAGGACTGATTCTGTAGGATAAGCTTCTGTCCATCTTCATTCATCCTATATAAATTTAAATAATCAAATGAGCTTGTTATTCAAATGATGAAGAGAGCCAAAGAGATTATAACAAGTTTAACAAGTTTTTAACTTCAGGTAAGTATTAAAATTCTTTGAACTCAGCATTTAAACTTCTTAAGCTTAGCACTTAAGTGTGCACTTACTGTGAAATCTGTGTTAGTTTTTTGTGACAGGGCTTGATAGGCAAATCAAAGGCCTATGAAAAGTTACTGAAAAAATGGTGTCCAACATAACTGGCATGTAGCTGCAGATACTGTAGTTTGTTTTGCTTAGATTATAAACTCCCTGAGGCAGAGGGTCACTGCTTTATTCTTATTTCACACACCTGGCACATGTGTTGTGTCCAGTTGGGGACATTTAAGAATAAAAAAGTCGCATAAATAATGTAGCTGTTTAGAATTTGTCAAAAAATCAGTTACTAAATTTTTTTTCCTGCTTTATATGGTAGTAGATATGTTCCCTGCTATTTGGGTATGCGAATTTAATTGGGGGTGTCATTACATATTTAGTTGCATGGGTTCACTTCTGTGATGAAAAAAAAATCTGATTTTTCTTTCATTTCAAACTCTTACAATGGCAGAAGATGTTCTTACAACGTTAATATGGGAAATATTTTTATGTAATATTATTCAAGTTGATTCCAAAATAAAATTGGCCATTCCAGAGATAAAAAATTACAGTCTGTATTGCCTTCATATACAATTATCAAATATGTAAATTCCACATAGATGTTTGACCTGAACTCAGATCTGCTGCGTACATCAAGATTTGTTCATTATAAACTAATTGCAGAACAATTAATTGGTGTGCAAGGAATTAATTTATTTTTGTTGTTTAAATTCAGCTATTTCTGTCTATAGCATAATATATACAAGGCAATGATCATTGCTTCTTAAATTTTTATGCAAATAAATTACAAAATTAATTGCTGGTTGCACTGAAATTAAGGAGATGTCAGTGTTTCAATAACAAACCTTTATTTTTGGAGGTTTATAAATCAGTTATAAAAGTTCTCTCCAAACACAATAAATAAATTAATTAGCAGGCATTGTCATAGCTGACAAGCGTGTTTGTTTATATCTTTAATGATATCAGGAGTCTTAATCATTTAACATTTTCTAAGTGCTTTGAGATCCTTGAAGGATGGATTCAATAAAGTGCAAACTATTATTAGTATTCTTTTTAATGCATTCATGTTAACAATATATATGCCATGAGGGCTTTTTAAGTCAATTGTGTGTGCTAGATACCACAATGTATCTATTAGAAAATGCCTCATGGAAATTATTAAAGATTCGAGATCTGGTGATCACTTACTTTGACAATTAGAAGAATTGGAAAGCATCCTTTTAAGGAGAAAGATGAACCATTGCCTCCTTGGAGGATGTAAGAATGGGAAAAGAGGATTTCTGTTATATGTACCATAAATTTGGAAAGTCTGATAAAAAACATATTTATATAAAGATATCTGTCTGTCTATCTCTCTCTCTCTCTCTTTATATATAGGTAACTTTATAGATACCTAGGAGATAAATATACACATATATACACAATGGAGACAACACACACTCATATATAAAAAATGTCCATCATTTAGACTTGGATTCAAACCACTTAAGGAGGTTCCAGTTTCATATCATAATGAAGCTGCTGAATGGGTCTGTTTACTCCCTTTTTCCTCTCCTTGTGCCTCCAACTCTGTTCCTAGACGCACTGTTAGCCTTGGTCTGAGTTTGACGTGATCATTCTTGCTGTGGTATGAGCTGGTTCAGGGAGCTAAAGATGACAGGAAGCAGTTCATTTTTTGGAGGGCAGGATTCATTTTCTGCAGGTTTAGCTACCTGAACCAGCCCACTGTGAGCCCAGACAAGTACTGGGGCAGTCAGATGAACAGGAGAGGTATGAAGGTAGATTAGCTTTGTTCTAATGTCAGATTTGGCTGTGGGTTGGGAGTAGTCACTCTGTATTTGCTGGTGGGAGCCAGACCCTTCCAAAAAGTAGGCAGTTCTCAGGCTGGTTGCAAGGTTCCTTCTCCATTGACAACAGAGAAAGAATAAGGTGAAAACCCTATGTTTACATAGCCTTCTCCATTTAATACCTAAAGTTGGATCATTTTAATCTAAAATAAACCAACTTGCTTAAATGAAAAGTATGTATTTTCCTTGGTTTTTTTAGGATTTAAGTTAAAGAGGAATATGCCATTTCTCTTGGGCTTTAAACCCCAAAATAACATTTAAAATGTTCACCAAGTTTTCTCTGCAAGCTATTTAAACATCTGAATAAAAGGAAGAAGACGTATTGTTATTTAGAGCTCCTTGGAGAAACTCCAAGCTTTAATTGCACTTCACTTTCATTTCAGTAAGAATGAATTTGAATGAAAGTGTCTCTGTCCTGTGGTGCTCTTTCATTCCCCATCTTAGTTCCTGTGAAAACAGTGCAACGGCACAGCCAAACTCAGCCAGACCCCCTCCTGCTGTTGATTTAGACATCTCTTTTGGCTCCTAGCTGATTTTCTCTTGTTTTGAGAATAAATTAAAAGCATATTTGAAAGTAGCAATGTCAATTTTCTTAATTATCTGAGACGTGGTGACTATAAATACCACACTACCTATTAAACAAATATATTCAAGAAAGTTCAGTGGTTGATATCCAGACAAATTGACTTTTTACAGAGAAACCAATGGTTGTCTCTGAGATTTTCAGGCCAGATAATGTGTGCACACTGGGTGCAACGTGTTTCTTCTGGGCATGTTGGACCTACTGTTTGTGTACATGCACAGAAAAATGACTGTGTTTTCTAAGAACTTGCTGAACATGTTCTCTGAAGTCCCTCTGTGCATTGCCTAGCTCTTTGGTATCTGCAGATGCACAACAACAAAATCTTTCTTTTCCTTTCAGAAATCATGAGTTGAAAGATAAGACAGTTCTGGAGAAACCCAGGCCTATTTATCTTTTATATAGCTAATGAAAGGAGAACTCTTTCACTGTTTTATGTGTAACCACACTTGCTGAGATCTATGGCAGCGCACTTAAAACAGTTTCCATGGGAAAGCTGATGGCTGAGTTTATCTTAATTTATGCAACACTTGTTTGCTGAGGTCTACATGTGTTTTGATATAGTGTTAGGAGTTCTTCATCAGCTGAGTAAAGAGTGCTTGATGTTCCTTAATACTGTTCTTTTATTCCCAGGCCTGTTGTGACCAGATTTCCTCTTCCCTGCTACAAAGTATAGCAGATTTTCTACTATTTTCAATGTCTTCTGACAGATGAGGTTTCTTGAAATACAGCTGATACTGGAATGTGCTGATACTCACCATAGTATCTGCTATTTTTCTAGTTCTAAACTAAACATATGTGAGAACTTTCTCTTATGAGATAGTCATGTTTGGAGAATGTTCATGTGATGCTGCATATTTAAGACTTACTTTTACTTTACTTTTTTTTTTTTTTTTTTTTTTTTTTTACTTTTGCTTACTATTTAAGACTTCTGGGGACAGATTGTTCAACCATTACATAATCCTAGAAAAGTTAATGACTATGTTCATGAAAGTAAAAATGGAAGGACTGGATTGTAAATTGCATTGCTATAGTGATGAGCCTGGTTGTTTCGTACATATAAACAAAACTTTGAGCTAAATTTAAACAGACATTAGGAGCTGTGGCAACAGACTCTGG